TTTTAGTTTTCAACATTCACTTCCACAAGTTTTTGAGTTCCAAATTTTCACCCCATCTCCCCCCTCCCCCACCCCAAGACGGCATGCATTCTGAATATCCCTTCCCCTAGTCTGTCCTCTCTTCTATCTCTCTCCCCTTCTCTTATCCCCTTCCCCTTCTATTTTCCTGTAGGGCAGGATTAATACATTTTCCAAGACTGGAATGTAACTCAGGTTTCCCTGCATTTTTCCAGCATTTTTTCCCAACACCTTTATTTGGGAAACTGATCTGGGATGAGAAAGGTTAACAGGGTCAGAGGAGGAGGGTCTCTAAGCTGAGGGAGTCATAGGGAGTCTCTGAATTGGGGTGAGAGGTGGTCTCTGATTTAAACAATCTTTTCTCTTTTCATAGTCAAGGAAGAGATATTCAAGTTTCAGATAAATTTTAAAATGCAAACTGTATATTTTTTTGTTTCTTCATTCTGGGATTGCTTTCAAACTAGCTGCCTGCCTTCATTACACTAATACAACAGGGCTATCAATCTTGGGGGTGGGGTGGGAAGAGGGTGATCTAAATTCTGTTGACCCCTAAAACTTTTATAGAATTTAACCCAAAACTCACTGTGATATTTCAGAAGGGGGTAAATTCCTGGAATTACCCAAAGTCTCAGGAATTCTCCCTCCATTCTTAAAATAATTAATTTCCAAGCTCCTTCATCTCCAAACCTCCAAAATCCACCAAGATGTTCTTAGTAGTTCCACAAATTTTTATTATCTGACTTCATTTCTGTAATTCCAATGTGGCCAAAGCTGAAAGGAGAGGGAAAAATCATCTCTTGCAGAGGTTTTTCCCACTTTTAGGGAGAGGTGGGCAGAAACCATCACTTAAAGCTACCCAGAAAAACCAAAAGTTCATCTGATCAGAATAAGATTTTTAATGACTAGTCTTAATTTCTTTAACTTGCAATAATTATAAGAGCTGAATTAGTTAAAACAAAGTACCAGCTGAATCTATTAGAGTTTTATGGCAGATGTCACATAGCTCAATTACATGTTGTTTAGTTATTCTCATAACTATCAGGGGAATTCCCTGGTCCCATGCTATCAAAAATTTATCCAAGGGAGATATGTATCTTACTACTGCTGGAACCCATCTTCTGTTGCTACTTCTGAAAACCCAAAAGTTAACATTAGACCATCCTATTCCCTGGGACAATCCAAATAAATCCCTAAATGTCCCGAAGCCCTGGGACAATTCCAAATTTCCCCCAATTTCTAGGGAAAACCTGATTTAACCCTAAATTTTCCCAATCCATGGAGCAAAACTAAAACTTTTCAGGAAAAAAATAATCTTAAATTCCCCTGTGGGGGTGGGGGTGGGGCAGGGAGGAGGTGCTTTCTCCTGGGGACACCAAAATCCAAATCTAAATTTCCCCAATCCCTGGGGCAAACCTGAACTCTAAACCACCCCATTCCTTTGGGCAAACCTAAAACTAGATCCAAACCTTTTTTAAAAGCCCTCAATCCTTAGGGTGGACCCCAAAAGAACCAAACCTAAACTTCCCCAATCCCTAAAATTTTCTGGGAAAAAAAACCAACTTAAATTCCCTTCTTTCTTGGGGAGTCCATCTCATAAGGGCACCAAAATCCAAACCTAAACCTCCCCAATCCTTGGGGTAAACCTGAACTCTAAACCACCCCACTCCTTGGGGCAAACCTAAAATTAGATCCAATATAAAAGAAAAAGTCCTGAATCCTCAGGGTATGCCCTAAAATAGCTAAATCTAAACTTTTCCAATCCCTGGGACAACTTCCAAGACTTAAAATAAAATGTAAAAATACCCCAAAACTTACCAGGGCTCAGAAGAAAATGGGTTCAAGAGCAGGAGTCCAACTTCCAAAGACAATCTTCCTAGAGCTCTCTAGGGAATTTTTCCGGAAGGCTGTCAGCTGGGGTCTGAGTTCTAACTCAACCTAGCATAGCTCACCAAAAACTGTGGCAGGTGAAAGATAAAATAACCGAGCAAACAAAGGTTTGACCTTCCAAGCACATTGATGTATTAAGCAATGCATGCCAACTGATCAACAAATTAGGACCAGGACCCTTCCTCAGCTTAGGGCTGGACCCCAAATACAGGAGGAGATAGACTTTTTACATTAAAAAAATTGGGGCAGCTAGGTGGTGCAGTGGATAGATCACCGGCCCTTGAGTCAGGAGGACCTGAGTTCAAATCTGACCTCAGACACTTAACACTTACTAGCTGTGTGACCCTGGGCAAGTCACTTAACCGAATTGCCTCACCAAAAAAAAAATCAAATAAGTCCAACTAAGGGAACAATACAATATTAAGTAATCTGATTTCTAATTGGATGAAAGATTAGGGACTTGAGGTGGACAGGTGCAATTCCCTGAATTCAAAAAAAGAGATGTCCCACTTCCCCCAGTTGTCTGTAAACTATCAGAGGAACATGGAAGCAGTAACCGATTAATCAGTTCAGGCCAGCAACAACCTTTGGATCTGACCCGGTTTCTGGTCGGCATAGCCCATGTCCTTAGTTAAGGATCTCTAAGCAGAGGGACAGGTGGTCCAGCTTCCCAACCATTCAGGACTAGGTTCAAACAACGCAACAAAGTCCTCTCCCAATTACCACAATTGAATAAAATTTTCTCACAAGACAGAAGTTGGACTAGACCTATAACTGAACAGAAATGGAACTGACTAGCTCCAGAATTGAGTCACAGGATGGAGTTAGTGTGGTTCACCCAATTTCTTTGGGGTCCTAATCCCCTCAAGTCCCTCAGCTTTCTCATATGACCATCGCATGTCATCTCTATAACTGCCAGTTTCATGAACTACCTGCTGGATGATGCTTTCTGGGACAATGTGGTCATGACTACTCCTTTCCGGACACAGCTTCAGTGAGCACCAGGTTGTCAATCAGCCCTCTGTATCCAGCTTCTGCCTTCAAATGTCATCCTTAATTGTGGTACTACCTCTTCTCCCATAGAGGAAGAGCGGCTGTCAACACATCTGTCTTAGCTTTTATCCTGGACAATGAAGTTAGAGATCTTTTAAATAAGCACGGTCCTCTCCTGCCCAGTAATCAGAATAAGGATAAGCCCTTAGCTTTTTTTTCTTCCTTAGAAGATTCAGTTAGTTTCCAGAACCTTGTCTGTGAAAGACTTGTCTTCTCCAAAAAGAGAGTCTTTACTCCAAGACTCAAGTCCTTTGGAACACAGCTAAATATGAAGCCATATTCATAGCCCCAGGTATGAAGTCTAATTTTTTAACTGAGACTCTCTCTGATTTAGGATCAGAAAGTCCCTGTAACGCCCTTCTTAATGTCCAATTGACAAAATGTACCTATTAAAGATCATTTGAGGGGCTGTCCCCCAACAACTTACTAAGGAATTAGCTGGGTCTAAGGCTCCCCAGTTTTCTCAACCTGAAGATTACTTTTGTTTCTCATACAAGAGAAAGGGAGGAACAAAACCCCCTAGGTAGGAGGACTGTTTTCAGATACTGTCAACCATTTTGTTTCAAATTCTTGTCTATTGTGTATAAGTGGCTGGCATAAACCTCTCTAGGCTTTGAACTGCCCCCTACAATGACTTATTTTTAAAAACTGTCTGAGGTCCTTTCCAGCTCTGGCATCCTTTCTGCCAAGAGCCTTTCTAGCTCTGACATTTTCTGTCCTAAGGGCCCTCCCAGTTCTGAAATTCTGTGTTCTAAGGGCATCCCCCCCAATTCTGACATTCCATGATCTAAGGCTCCTCCTAGCTCTGACATTCTGTTCCAAGGACCCTTCTATACCTTTCATTGCTCTGAAGTTTAACCTACAGAACATTTTCCATTCTGTAATTCTGTGATCTTTCAAGAAACAGGAAGCCTTTGGTGTAGATTAGCTAACATGATAAAAGCTGCATTAAAATATGTTAATATTGGGACCTTCAGCAGTAGCACAGGACATAGAAGGAATCTGCCTGCAAGAACCAGGAATATGAAATGTTGGGAGTGTAGGCAGGTAGAAGGTCATCAATAAAGTAATGTGGTCATGAGTACAGGCAGGCATACAGAAACTAGGAGAAAAACAACAACCAGGGCAAATCATGACAGAACAGTGTGAGGCACCAGGACCCAGGAATTTTTTGTATTGACTTAGCTAGGAGGCAGTATCTGTGGGGAATTTGAGATTTTCTATTGGCCAAAATATACCACCAAAGCTGGAGGATGGGTTTTTGGGTTTGGGCTTTTTGTTTTTTCCCCAACAGATATACCTAATAATTGAAAGAAGACTAGCATCCAGTGGGTAGAGAACAACTACCTTGCCTTTTTCATATGCCTTTTGTTCTGGTTTCACATACCTGTTTGTTTGACCAATTCACATGCACATTAAACCAGAGGATAGCCTTGGGAATTTCTGACCTTAAGTCAGATAGTTGTCTGGGACAAACGCAATTCTATTTGAAGAGAATTTATTAAGTACCTATGACAGGGGTGGGGAACCTGTGGCTTCGAGGCCACATGTGGCCCTCCAGGTTCTCAAGTGCAGCCTTTCCACTGAATCCAAACTTCACAGAATAAATCCCCTTAAAGAAAGGATTTGTCCTGTAAAACCTGGACTCAGTCAAAAGGCTGCACCCGAGGCCTCAGGTATCCCACCTCTCACCTGTTATGTGACAGAGGGCTATGAGTTTAGTGTCAGACAGAGGTTAAAAGAAAAACAACTTAATTTTTTTTTTTGCTTTTTGGCGAGGCAATTGAGGTTAAGTGACTTGTCCAGGGTCACACAGCTAGTAAGTGTCAAGTATCTGAGGCTGGATTTGAACTCAGGTCCTCCTGACTCCAAGCCAGAGCTCTATCCACTGCGCCACCTAGATGCCCTGATGTAATTCCTATAGAACTAATTTCATGAGATTATCAAGATGAAATGAGATGAATCATATAAATTTCTCTGAAATCTAAGGCATGATACAAATGTCCAACGTTTCATACGATTATTATTATACATTCTTCTAGGCAAGGCTGACTTCCCAATTTACCAAGAATATAGAAGAGTCAAGACAATCCAAGGGTCAAAGGCTAAGCTGCACTCAAGACTCTTGCCCTCCTAAGCCCCCATCAAACCAAAAGGCTCAAGCTGTCCAGATTCAGCTGCGGCATGACGATATTTTCCATGACATCCCCACCTACTATCTCCAGCCCTATATGCTAAGTTATTACCCCAAAACTCAGCCTTTTAGTAATGTGCTAGTAGATGAGATGGATATGATGTTGACCAAAGCAGCCATGGTTATCCAGTCAGCCTGGCGATGCCACCATCTTCGACAGAAGCTGTCCATGGAGTCAGAGGCAAGCAAGGCAGCAGAGGCCATTCAGAGTGCCTGGCATCAGCTTGGTGTCCACCAGAGTCTACAATCTGCTTGGGAGCCAGGCTGCACGGCACAGGAGCAGATCCAGGTTTTCAAAGGGTCTTGTTCACAGAATACGATAACTTCTGAGACAGTGACTGAGACTAGTAAAGACCAGAAGCAGCTTTGGAGACCACTGGTACATTTCCATCAGCAGAAAGTAAGGACCTCTACCCCTGAGCAAAGTACCGTGGACAGACAGACACAAGTCTCCTCCCAGAAGCAACTTTCCCAGTCATATCTAGAGACGCAGTCTCAGGATCAGCTAGGGGCTAAATCTGAGACCACTAAATCTCAAATACATTTCGATGATAGAGAGATCAAGGTCCCATCCCAAACATATCCTGCTGATACAGTGGTCAAGACCTCTTCTCAGATATATCCTATACCTGGAGAGGCCAAGGCCTTGTTCCAGGCACAACCCACAGCCAGATTGCCACAGGAACACAGAGCTAGAATGACCAAGGTCCCAACTCAGGCAAATCTGGTAGCTGAAGTAGCCAACACCACATCCCAGACACAGTTCTTAACTGATGCGACCAAGGTCCTATCCCATGCAAATCTGGCAGCTAAAGGGACCACAGCCCCACCCCAGGCACATTCCACAGCTGGAGTGACCAAGGAACATCCCGCCACTGGAACAGCCAAGGCCTCGTTGCAGCTGGATGTGGTGGCCGTGGCAAACAAGGCCCCACACCAGGCACAACCCACGGCTGGAACAGCCAAGACCTCACCTCAACCACATGTGGTGGCCATGGCAAGCAAGACCCCACAGCAGGCACAGCCCACGGCTGGAACAGCCAAGACCTCACCTCAACCACAAGTGGCGGTCGTGGCAAGCAAGGCCCCGCACCAGACACAACCCACGGCTGGAACAGCCAAGACCTCACTACAACCACAAGTGGCGGTCGTGGCAAGCAAGGCCCCGCACCAGACACAACCCACGGCTGAAACAGCCAAGACCTCACTACAACCACAAGTGGCAGCCGAAACGAACAAGGCCCCACACCAGGTACAACCCATGGCTGGAACAGCCAAGACCTCACTACAACCACAAGTGGCGGTCGTGGCAAGCAAGGCCCCGCACCAGACACAACCCACGGCTGAAACAGCCAAGACCTCACTACAACCACAAGTGGCAGCCGAAACGAACAAGGCCCCACACCAGGTACAACCCACGGCTGGAACAGCCAAGACCTCACCTCAACCACATGTGGTGGCCATGGCAAGCAAGACCCGACACCAGGCACAACCCACGGCTGGAACAGCTAAGGCCTCGTCACAGCCACAAGTGGTGGCCATGGCGAACAAGGCCCCACACCAGGCAGAAAGAATAGCCACAGCCTTGTCACAGCCACATGTGGCAGCCACGGTGCATAAAGCCCCACACCAGGCACAACCCATGACTGGAACAGCCAAGGCCTCATCCCAGTCATATCTGGCAACTGTGGTGAACAAGATCCTACATCAGGCACAACCCACAGCTGGAGTGACCAAAGTCTCACACAAGGAAAATCTGGCAAGAAGAGTGGCCAAGGCCCCAACCCAAGAACACCCCATAGCTAGAGCAGACAAAACCTCATCCCAGTTACATCTGGCAGCTGGAGGGACCAAGTCCCCCCCCCAGGCACACTCCACAGCTGGAACAGCCAAAGCCTCACATGAGGAACATCTGTTGTCTGGAACCAACAAGGCTCCATTCCAGTCACATCTAATGGCTGAGATGACCAAGGCTCCTTCTCAGGTATATTCCACATCTAGGGTGAGTAAATCCTCTTCTCAGATACATTCCACAGCTGAAGTGGCCAAGACACCATCCTCAGCATCACCCACAGTTAGAGTGAATGAGTCCTCTTCCCAGACACATTCCACAGCTAGAGTGACCAAGATACCATCTTGGGCACATCTGGAGGTCAAGGCAACCCAAGTCCCATCCCATGAGTACTTGGAGGCTAAGGCAACCCAAGTCCCATCTCAGAGTGATCTGAAGATGAAGATAATCCAGGGTCCACCTCAGTCATATCTGGAGACTCAAACCTCATTGCAAGTCCAACAAGGGACCACAGGGACAAAGACATCATTGCAGGCACAGACAGGGCCACTTATATCCAATTTTATGTCCTGGAGAGACATGGATATGACCAAAGCTCAAGCTCTCCAAGACCAGGGAGGGATAATGGCAGCTCCAGAGATGGCAAATGAAGAGAATAGGGTGGGAAAGACTAAGCCCCTTCAGGAACAGCTGGGCACTGCGCTTTCCAAGGCTTTCTGTCAGGGAGAGGTGAGGGCAGCTTTAACAAGTGCTTTGTCCCAAGAAGTGCTGGGCTCTGGCACAGCCAGGAACTTACCTCAGGGGATGCTGGGGCCAATGTTGATTAAGGCCCTGTCTCGTGGAGCTCTAGGGACAAACGTTTGGAGAGCCCTGTTCCCAGGGGAGCTGCTGGCAGAGGTAGCCAAAGCCATGTCCCAAGGGAGGCTGGGGGAAGCCCTGGACAAGGCTCTGACCAAAGACGAAAGGTCTGCACTCAACCGGGCCCTCTCTCAGGGGGACCTGAGGACTGTCCTCAGCCAGATTTTATCCCAGGGTGTGTTGGCAACTATGGCAAGACCTTTGGATGTGGGAACAGCTTCAAGCCCACCCCTAAAGGAAGCAGGAGGTGGGGTCACACAAGCCATAAGTCAGGTAGACGTGAGAAAGGCAAAGAGTACCATCTTCTCAGCAGACCCCAGCCCATCAAAAGTTGTCATCTCAAGGGAGAATAGTTGGCAGAAAATCCCCCACGAAGAGACATTGCTACCTGTGGAGACCAAAGTTATCAGGGGGATGGCCCCCAGCCTTCATCAGGATTCTGAGGCCAATGCAGGAACTGGACCAAGTCTCCACCAAGTATTCATGTGTAACGGACTGGGCTCAGTTCTGCCCTGGGAGCCCATGGCCACTGGAATGACCCCAAATCTGCCTCAGGGGACTGTGGCCAGTGGGCTTGTCCAAAGTCTGTTGCAGGGCCCTGTGGGTTATGAGGCAGTCTCTACTCTGGACAAGCCGCCTGTGGCCAGTGCGGAGATACCAAATTTGTCTCAGGAAAATGGGACCAATGGAGTCAAGCTAGGCCTACACCAGACATCTGTGGTCGATGAGGTGACCCCAAGATTACAACAACCATCCATGACCAGCAGGATAACGCCAGATTTACACCAGGAACCCATGGCCAGTGGGGTAATTCTAAGTTTGCATCAGCTGCCTGTGGTCAGGGAGGTGACTCCAAGTTTGCATCAGCCATCTGAAGTCAAAGGAGTAGCTCAAAGCTTATGCCCGGTCTCAGGAGGCAGCAGAGTGGTACCAAGTATATTTCAGGATCCTACAGACAATGGGACAGACCCAAGTTTATACCAGGCATCTGTGGCCAGTGAGATCTCAACTATATATCAAGGCCCTGAGGCCAGGGGGTTGGGCCGGAGTAACTTCCAGAGATCTGTAGAAAACCAGGTAATTCCAAGTCTAAATCAGGCCCTGGTAGCTAGTGGAGTTCCCTCAAATCTCTCCAAGGTATCTATAATCACGGGGGTACCCTCAAGTCTCTATAACGGATCTATGACCACTGCTATACCTCCAAATATGTACCAGATGTCTGGGGTCAGTGGGGTGGCCCCAAGTCTATCCCAGCAGTCTTCGGTCAGTGGCATGGTGCCAAGGCTACACCAGACATCTGTGGCTCATGGGGTGACCCCAATTTTACAACAAGGATCTGTGGTTAGTGGACTGGTTCCAGGTCTACATCCAGCCTCCATAAGCAGTGGCACGTCCCCAGACCTAAACCAGGCATCCACAATCAGTGAGATGGCCGCCAATACTTTAGGCCAGCGTGCATCCCGGTCACCTATGGGAATTGGGATTCTGAGTTCACATCAAAACTTAACTTCTGATAGATTAACCAGAAGTCTGCCCTGGAGCTCCACGACCAATAAGGTAAATTCAAAGCTAGTCAGTGGGGTAGCCCACAATCTATATCAGGGATCCATGAATTCCAGGATGGATTCAGGCATACCCTGGGATTCAGTGGTCATCAAAATGCCCCCAAATATGTATCAGAAGTCTATGACTACTGAGAGTACCCCAAGTAATCACAGGAGGTCTCTAACCAATCTACACAAGGAATTCATGGCTAGAAGTGTGACACTAAGTCTACCTGCGGGCTCTTCAATCTGTGGTGAGGGGCAAAATGATGCCCAGGAAGTTAGAGCTGGTTGGGGAGACCCAAGTTTGTACCAGAGCTCTGTGGCCACAAAGGTAGAACCTCATGCAGCCCAGAAGTTCATGAGCTACAAAGTGGGCCCGAATCTGTCCCAGGAGGTAACTCCAAGTTCACTTAGGATACCAGTGGTTAGGGAGGGGACTGCAAATCAGGGATCTGGAGTCAGTGTGCCAACTCCAAATGTGCACTGGCAATCTGAAGTCGATGAGGTGATATCCAAGGTATCCTTGGGACCTGGGATCAATGAACTAGTTCCAAACGGACATAGGGCAGCTAGAGCCATTGAAATGGGCCCAAATATGCACCAAGGACCCAAATTCAATGAGGTAGCCCTAAATGTGCCCTGGGGATCTGTGGTCAGCAAGGTAGCCCCCACCATTCGACAAGGATCTGTAGTCAGTGAGGGGATCTCAAGTGTGCCTCAGGTAACTGTAGTCAATGTGCATAAGGAATCTACGGTCAGCAGAGTGCTTCAGGTATCTAGGGTCAGGGGGGTAGCCCCAAGTTTGCCTCAGGAATCTATGGTCAGTGAAGGCATTCCAAATGTGAGTCAAAGATATATAACTGGTGGAGTGGCCCCAGCTGTGTGTCAAAGACCTATGCCCAAACCAGTGTCCACACAAGCGCATTGGAAATTAGCATCTAGACAGTTGGTTCCAAATCTGTTCCAGAAATTTGTTTCCAATGGGGAAGACCTCGGAATGAATCAGGGATCTGTGGGTAGTGGGGTGGTCCCCAAATCAAATGTGAGATCTATGACCTATGAGATAGCCCCAAATGTTCATCAGGAATCTGTGCCAACTGGGCCAGTCCAAACTGTGAGTTCGGGTTCTATGACCAATAGGGTAGTTCCAAGTGTAAGTTTGGGGCCTATGACTAGTAAGTCAACCCCAAGTGCAGGTCAACAATCTACGGCCAGTGAAGTCATCTTAAGAGGACATCAGGGATCTATGACCCTCGCAGTGGCCCCAAATGTGAACTTGGGACTAGAGGACAATAAGATAGCCTCAAGCATATATCAAGAACCCATGGCCAGTGAGGTGGTCCCAAATGCACATCAGGGATCCTTGAGCACTGGGCTGGCCCCAGCTATAAGACAGAGATCTGTGACCAGGGGCGTAGCCCCTAGTATACACCAGGGACCTGCAGGTGGTGGGATAGCCCCAATCATACATCATGGACCCATGGCCAGTAGAGCAGTCCCAGGTGTGAGTCAGGGACACATAGCCAGCGGGGGAATCTCAAGGCTGCATCAGGGATCCATGGCCAGTGGGGTAACAAGAGTAACCCCAAGTCAAGAATCCGTAGCCAGCGGGGTAACACCAAGTATCTACCAGAGGTTCCCAGAGAGTGGGGTGCCCCAGGGGCTCATGGCTAGTGGAATGCCCCCAAGGATGTGTCAGGGATCTCCTGCCGGTAGACTGGCCCTGATTCAGGAGAGCTCCAGCATCAGCTATGTAACCAAACAGGTGACCTCGCAATGCACACCTAGCACGGGAGCAACAAGCGTGCAACGGGCGTCTATGGCCGGCGGAGTGGTGCCAATTGTTAATCAGAGATCTGGTGCCAGTGGGGTCGTCCCAAATGGCCTCTGGGGACTCATGACCCAAAAGGTAAATCCGGGTACCGTGCGGCAGGAGTCTGGGGGTAGGGAAGCAAAAACGAGCTCAGGTCTGGAGCAAGAAGTCCCTCGTCTCCCTCGGAAAGGCGGTAGCTGGCAACCAGAAATATCGGAAGCTGCCAGACAATGTGCAGCCTCCGTGATCCAAGGCGCCTTCAGGGGCCACAAAGTCCGTCGCAATCTGAAAGTACAGCACCAAGCAGCCTCCATCATCAAGGCGGCATGGAGGGGCTTCCAGGTTCGGAAGTCTCTGGCCAGCCAAACGAAAGCAGCTACCAGGATCCAAGCGATCTGGAGAAGCTTCCGCACGCGTCAGAAGCTGATGAATCAGAGGTTCCCAGTGGACCCACTGCCTGAGCCGGGAAGCCCGGACAAGCAGATCCCACCCCACCGCTGCTTCCAGTCCTGCCAACCAGAGCCCTGCGTCCTCTGTCAGAGCCTATGGAGGAAAGTCGAAAACGGCCCTGCCTGCCTGGGACTGCTCACGCAGCCCAGCACGAGGACCTGTCATCTCTGTCAGCGCACATTCCAAACCAGGCTGTTCTTTGGCCTGGGCCAGGGCCTGGGCAACGAGGGCCTGCCTGGACGGAAGGTGAGCTCTTCGTCCACCCGGCAATCTCGGCAGCCGCTCAGTCTACACAAGGCAGCTGTGTTGATCCAGGCCCTCTGGAGGGGCCATCAGACTCGGCAAGCCCTGAACAAGCAACAGGCAGCGACCATGCGACTCCAGGCTTTCTGGAGGGGCTACATGACCCGCAAAAATCTCACTGAGAAAGTAATGCTCTTGGGCCCTCCCTTGGCCCCAGGCTAGAGAGCCAAGCCACCGCGACCCTGCAGATTGGGGGTGGACTGGGGGTGAGGTGACTCTGGAGGATGAGTCTTTCTTGGGATGACCTAATAAAGCCTTCCAATGCCTTGATCCTAGTCTGGCTGTGCTATTAGGATAGGGTTAGGAGGGAGGAAATGAAAGGGGTCACTAGAAGAACCTGGTGGCTAACTAGGACTGGGGCCCCAGCATAGCACCTGCTTAGACAGGCTTGTGCCTCCTGCACAAACCCCTCTAATTCCAAGCAGGTATTGCCTGCTGGCTCCTAGAAATGCAAGGGAGTGGGTGCTAGAAATTGCGAACATTAAGAGGACAAAGCCAAATTTCATGAATGATCCCTCTGAGAGTGAGCACTTTAAAACAAGAGACTGTCCTGCTTTGGGGAACCAGGGGAGACCAGGTCAGGAGGCATCCCATCCACTCCAGAGAGGCCCACGATGAAGAGACAATAGACCAGCTACGCAAAGAGGTGGGGGTGTGAATGTCACCCCATCTGTGACAAGGTGCACGTGCCAGGAATTGAAGCAAAGATTCCAGGGCTGAATGGCAAGCCACGGTGCCTGCGAGAAGACCTAGACAGCTTCCCAGTCTTGACTCCTGTGATGAAGTATTCACTGAACCACACTGGGAGTGTTTGGTGGCTGATAGAAGGGAAGGCTCTGAGCAGAGGATTCCACTGCTAGGGGAATTAATTTCCCTTCACTTGGGAAGTGCAGAAAGGGGAGGGAATAGGTGGTTCTCTCTCTTTACAAACTGGGGCTTGGTTTATTATTTTGTTGATTGTCCAGACCAGAGGAGGGGAGCTAGTGGTGCACTGAATAGTGTCCAGAGTTCAGGAAGACCTGAGTTCAAACCCAGCCTCAGACACTTCCTAGCTGTGTGACCCTGGGCAAATCACTTCACCCTGCTTGCCTCAGTTTCATCATCTGTAAAATTATCTGGACAAGGAAATGCATCACTCCAATCTTCCAAGAAAACCCCAAATAGGGTCACAAAAAAGAATCAGTCACAAAAAAAAAGAAAAAGAAAAAATTGGTCACTACTGAACATACCAGAGGTGTCAAATGCAACAGCAAAGCTCATACTTTACAAAATACGATAAAAGATGGGTAATACTATATTTAAAACAAAACCAACGACCTGCAGCAGGAATCCTTATGTACTGTTCAATTCTTCTCCCCCTTCCCCATTCCTATTTGACTTTGATACCACTGGTCTAGATCATATGCCATTCTTTAAAACCATGCTGTACTTACATGGTCCCCCGGAGAGCTGGTTGTTAACCGTTTCCCAGCACATCCTTGCAGAGGGGGCACCTTGCCCAGGAGAGGGTTGTTGCAGAGTGAGGAGCCTAGGGAGAAAAATAAGCCTAGGGAACCTGATGGGAGAGATTTGGCCAACATAAGTGCAGCATCCGGGGAGAAGCAGCACGAGGTCGTTAGGATCCTGTAGGATCAGAGTTAGGAATTGTGCGGTAGGTGGAGGTAGGCCTTGGCCACATGTATTACCTATGGCTGTTCCTGTCTACCGGAAAGTATTTTGGGGAGAAGTTTTTATGAAAGCACTGCTTTGTCACTCCTGTTGTGTTTGCCATATCAGTAAATGATTGGGTGAGTTGTGCTCATTCTGTGACTGTTGGAGGTAGTAAACTCATTAAGTTTTAGGACTGCAGAGCCGCAGAGGACTTTGCACCTGGAGGAGTAGTCATCTAAGGAACCCAAAGGCAAATGTGAGTCAGGAGTTGGGCGTGGGGTAGTCCAGAAAGGGCTTTAACTGACTTTCCACTTTTTTCCAAGTTGAATAGAACCCAAACGGGTAATGTGAGGAAGAAGAGAATGCTTCCCAGCATGTACACATATGTGCAAACTGGTAGCCCAAATTTATTTGTGCTGGGAGGGGGGAAGATGAAGCCTAGGGTTAGTAGCCTGAGCTCAGAGTGTCCCCTGGTGACCAATGCTGAGATTGCACTGAGTCATTCTTTGCCTCTTGCAGAGGCACAGGGACAATAAAAGAGGCTCAGCCACTTGTCTTCCCTCCTGCACTGCCCAGGAAAGGGACAGGTGCATCATAAAACAGGAAAACTGGCTGTAGCCATATCGTCAGTCCCTTGCCTGGGGGTGGTGCCTGCCCTCTATACCAGAAACACAGGTCCAATGATAGAGCTCTGGTCTCAAGTCCCAGTTCACTATTCATGGATGTTTAAGCAGCTGCTTGTCCTACAAGGTAGGATGCTGTGTCTTCAGAATCACTATAATGTGAGAGATCACCCAGTAAAAGTCAGAGAAATGTGGCATGGGGACCAGGAATCCTGTGTAATTCTGGAATCCCTTGCTTATCCCTAAGGTCAATGTGGCTCTTTTGGGTGGCCAGCTATACAATTCTCAGTTTAAGCCCCTATCTACTACACCCCATTACCAGACCTTACATGGCACATATAAATCTCATAGTAAGAAAGTATTTAATTAAGACATGAAGCAACATAAAGAACAAGGAAGGGGGGAGGACCCATTCTCTGTATTCATACACAAATAGATACAAACTCATTGCCTTTAGAGGTATAATAATATAGCAACCCTACAATAATCTAATTCCCTCTTTAATCTTACTGATACCCCACAGAAGAAGTCCTAAGAGAGGCACATGGCCTCAGGGGTAAGAGTTTAGCATGCAGTGCCATCTGTATCCAATAAAGACTCCTGTTCCCCCTTCTACTTTGGTTCAGGAACACTTAGGTCCATCCCACACCACAGAGTACCTCCAGGATACAGACAGGATCGAGAGGGGTTAGAGCAGAGGCAGTGAACCTGCAGCCTCGAAGCCACATGTGGCCCTCTGGGGCCTCAAGTGTGGCCCTTTGACGGAATGCAAACTTCACAGAACAACAGAAAAAGGGGGCAGTGGGATTTGTTCTGTGAAGTTTGCATTCATTCAAAGGGCCACACTTGAGGACCTAGAGGGCCACACGTGGCCTCAAGGCTGCAGGTTCCCCACTCCTAGATTAAAGAGAGCAATAGAGTCTTCCTTGGCTACAGCTGTTTCACGTCCCACCTGTGAAGCGATGAGCTGGGGGCTATCAATAATTGAGATTGCATGAGGCATAGAAGTTTCTAGCATGAAAGTTTCCAGGCATAGACAATTTCAAAAAAGGGCAGGAGGAAGGGGTATATCAGAACAAACACAGCCTTTCACAAAAAAAGATTAGGCTCTCAAATCAGAAACATACACAAATTCTCTCATGCTATTCTTGTGAACAAGATGGCGAGATGTGGCCTAGCAATAGTTTGATTAGATTCAAGACTGACTGAATGGCCAAAATCAAAGAGTATTCATTAATGGTCTCCAGTGGAATGTCCCAGGGATCTATTTACCCCTGGGCTGTTTAATATTTTTTATCAGTGACTTTGAGATGACATGCTCATCAAATTTGCAGATATCACAAAACTAGGAGGGATAGCTAGGGCGTTAGATGACAATCAGGATACCAAAAAGATATCAGAAGGCTAGAATTCTAGCCTAAATCTAATAAGATCAAATTTGAATGGGAATAAATGAAAAGTGCTCTTAGGTTCAAAAAAATCAATTTCTCTTAGATGGCAATTTGTCAGAAAAAGATCTGAGTACTTCAGTGTACTCCAAGCCCAACTGAAGTCACCAGTATGATAATGAGGCCAAGATGGTGGCCAATACGATATTAGTCCGTGTTAAAGAGAGGCATTGTATTCAGAAACAAGAGTCTAAGTTCTAGGACAGAAAGGAAACTCCAGTTCCCAGATGTTACAGATAAGGAAGCTGAAAGCTATAGCTGTAGAGAGCCTTGCCCAAGAAAATACCAGTAGTGGGCATTGGAAGTAGGATTTAAATCTGGGCCTTGTGATTCTGGAGCCAATGCTCCTTCCCTTATAGGGGGCTATTTCCCATTGGCCTCTCTATGCTTGGTCAGACCCTAAATGGAGCAATGCTTTTATTTCTTGGGATCATGTTTTCCAAAGGATACGAGCATTTACTAAGTGCCTGCTTCATTTATTAAGTGCCCACTCCTCTGGACTCCATCATGCTCCAGGAACTCCTTCCCTCCCACTTCATTAGTACCCTCTGGCTCTGGGGCCCTTCCCTCTTATTAGATAGTGTAGGGCTTCTCTTGGAACCTCCATTTAAGGCCGATATTTCCTAGCAGGCTGAAATTCTCTGAACTTCTGCATCATGTCTCCTCCTCTCCCACACACGCACTCCAACAAGTATCTTACCCCCTCCCCCGCCCTACACTCCAACTCCCCTCTCCTTTCTCAGCTTTCCTTTTATGTGTTGTCTTCTCCATGAGAATGTAAGCTCCTTTCTTACATCAGACACTTGAAACTTACTAGTTGTGTGACCCTGGGCAAGTCACTTAACCCCAACTGCCTTGCCAAAAAAAAGAATGTAAGCTCCTTGAGGGAGCTGGGGACCGTCCTTCTTTTTGCTTGGATTTATACTCTTAGCATTTAGAAAAGTGCCTGGTACATGGTAAGCTCTTCAGGAATGGCTGTTGACTGGCTGGCTAGCCTACTCTGTACCAGACACTGTACCAAATGCTTTCCAAATATTATCTCATCTGATCCTCACAACATCCCTGGGAGGTAGGTGCTATTATTTCCCCATTTTACAGTTGAGGAGACTGAGGTAGACAGAAGTTAAATGGTTTGTCCAGGATCACACAGGGAGCAAGTGTCTGAGGCCAGATTTGAACTTGGGTCTTCCTGACATCAGGCCCAGAGCTCTATGCGCTATGGCACCACCTACCTCAGGATGTCTCATGTCACATGAAGATCAGATGAAAGAACCCAAGATGTTTAGCCTGAAGAACAGAAAATTTAAAGGAGGTATTTTAGTTGTCTTAGGATATTTACTGGGCTATCACAAGGGACAGGACTTGGAAGAATGGTTAGAAGTAGCAAAGAGGCAGATTGATGCTTGAGGAAAGGAAACACTTTGTAACAATGAAAACCATCCCCCAGATAGGCTGCCGGGAAAGGTAGTGAGCTCTATTTCACTGGAGGTATTCCAGGAAATGCTAAATGATCATGGGGTGGGGGCAGACCACAAAAC